GCGTTTGCGGCAATACCAAGCGATATGCCCAAGGAAACCACAGTTGTAGCACAAGGGAGTGTCGCGGTTTATAATATATTCATTGGAACGAATCCTGGGCCGCAGCTGTCGGCGAGCAAGTTCGTTATCACGCAAATAACCTATTTCTGACACCCTCTAGAATTCAAAGTATTGGTGATAAGTTGACTCTTTGTAGTAGGGTCGGTGCTGTCCTTGCCGCGGCGGGACGTAGTCTGGCTCAGAGTCCTGAGTTTCAGAACGTGGTTGTCTTCGTCGTCATCGGGCGTCAGAGACATGACCTCTATCGTAGAGACGTGGCTGATTCTGAGGCATGGCAACAGAATCCTCAATGCAGTCTGCCACTCGGTGCTAGGAGAATGAAGCAATGTTTCGCTTGAACTCTGGAGGCAGGTAGACGGGATGAGTGCTTGGGTGGTGTGCCAGTTGTGCATATGAGCCGAGCTGTTCAATTACTAGTTCCCCGATCGTTGATGCAATATCATGCGGCTGGTTGCTCTCTATAATTATGGTAGTCGTCACATTGGCTGGCCTGCCGAACTTCAGCGTCATGCGCCTCATCTTCAGTTGCTCAAAAGCACGGCAATGGCAAACGACATCGGCGACAGATGTCGGGGTGTCTTTCGCGATGAAGAAACTCTACACATCCTCGCCGATGTCTTTTAGAATGTACCCGACTCTGTCTTCTTAAGATATTGCGGATTCAATGATCCTACATAGCTTTATTGCTTCCTCTGTGCAGGTCGTGCAAGTTTCACCTGGCAATTGCGCGCGTTGCATTAGCGTTTCTTCTTCTCTTTCAATTTTCATTGAGGGGTCACTGAAATTCTCTTTGATTCATAAACGAATCTCTCCCACATTGTAAGCGTTTCCTCACGATTCTTCTACCACACTAACGCAGCATCCGCCAGAAAGAATGTGAAGTATGAAAGCTGAGAAGCGGCATCCCATTTATTGGAGGCGCTCACCCGTTCGTAATGAATGAGCCAAGCCTCGACGTCTTCATCTGGTCTGCCGGCGAAGTGACGAGCATCTCTCAGTTGTGAAGCCAAACTGGTCGGTGCAGAAGTCGACAAGGGTCGATATTCATCTTCGTTGTGGGACATGTCCAGCCCGGGTGGATTCGGTGTAAGTCCAGCAAGGCTCCGGGGAAAAACTTGCAGATCAACCTCCGTCTTCGCGTGTCGACTACCCAGTGCTTCCAAAACAACTGTTACAGTGAGTTGTGATGAAATAGTTTCGTTTACAAGAGGTGCGTGATGATCGTTTGCCATAGTGCGCTGTGATCTAGCCAAGGCTCTTCGTTTTCCTCTTTTTCTCTATTCTGCCTTTCACATATTTATTACATTATCAAAAGAGCTTTCGATAGTGTGATTCAAGAAATCTTTTAGGGAATACTGTACACACTAGATAAAGAACATGAAATAACCAATCTTCTAAGGGCTATCTATAAAAGTAACAAGGTATATATAAAACAAAAAGAAAAGGTATCCGAAACTATAGAGTTTTAAGACGTGCTTCGACAGGGATGCCCTTGTCACCTTTGTTGTATATGCTCTATCTACAGGGACTAGAAGCGAAATTAGAGAAGAGTTGACTCGGCTTCAGCCTATCTTTTGCCAAGCAAGCAAAACACGTTGAAGAGTCATTGCCAACATTGAGATATGCAGATGACATAGCAATAATCGCTGACAACAAGGAAGATGTGCAAGGATTGATATACATCTACGGTAATGAGGGAGATAGGTTAAACTTGAAGTTCAGTAGAGAAAAATCAGCAATCCTAATTTTAATGATAACAGAGGCAGTGAGCATAAGATACAGAAAGTCACGCGAGAAATATCGGATCAATACAAATATTTGGGCGTATGGGGAAACAACGAGGCTGAGTACTTAAAAGAGCACGAATGATACCTTATGACTAAGGGTAACAGGAATAGAGCTGTAATTAAAATTGGTGCACTGTGAAAATACAATAGATGAGACGTTGTTAGAAAGATTCAGAAAGGTGTCATGGTCCCAGGTTCGATGTTCGGCAGTGCGGTTATGTGCAAGAAGTCAGAGGTTCAAGTAATATTAAAAATACAACAACGTGGCGTAGGTAGACTTGCTAGGGGAGCACACGAGAATACCCAAAATCAGGGGGCACAGCGTCATATTTGATGGACAGGGAAGCTAGCAGCAAGGTAAATTGGAGTAGCGATTCAGAAAAAAGCGGGAGAAGAGCGTTGGGCTAGGAAAGTTATCAGCTACTTGTACATGAAGAATGTTGAGGATAAATGAAGAAAGCGAACTCGAAAATTGTCACGCAATTATTTAGGTAACAGCAGAATACCAAGCCAAAAAGAAATATTGCTTGGAAAAGGTGAGAGAAATAGATAGGAACATGTGGAAGATTGTAATCCTTACGAATTCATTACTGTAGACCTATTAAACTTTCATGCAGCAAATTGCAAAAGCTCCACAATGATTCTCGAAGGAGTTCTCTGCTGTTCGAGGCCAGAACGGCAATATTGCCGACTAGAACGTACCTAACGGAATACGAAGGCACATACACGTTATGTAGTGCGTTTATTGAGGAGGAGAAAACGATGTTTCATAGTTTTCTGTAAAGCACTCTATCCCATAGTTCAAAATAATAACGTGGAATCGAGCAAAGCATCGGGGGTTACGGACAGTGAAGGCAGATATATTTTAAACGGGTAAAACTAACCACGAGGAGGATAATTGATTGGTGGCTACAATCACGGTGCGAGTGAAATTCAATCCTTCAAAACACGGTGATAGTACTTAACCTTATGGGTAAGCGGCATGAGCCGCCACTCGATATAAAACGCACAGCTTGATGCATACAACCATCTATCCAATATTTCGTGGAAAGATGCGAGATGGCGGTAAATGGAGTGTTCGCTAGATGGACGGATGGACGCACAGGCAGACAGATGTACGGATGGATGGATGTATGGTGCACAGACAGAATCAGCTAGGAACGGATGGACGATTGGCCGCACGGACGGATGCATGAATGGATGGACGAACGAACGAACGGACGGACGCAGGACGTACAGACGCTTGGACGCATAAACGGACGCATGGACGGAAGCACGAACGAAAGGATGGATGCATGGAGAGTCGCATAGATGGACGCATGAACTGACGGAAGCAAGAAAGAACGAAAACACGGAAGCACGAACGCACTGTCAGACACTTCGCTCCAATTATTATCATTCAGTCCTTAGATATGCCGTGATATTACGCTCCACAACGATGGAATGGATAGCATCGTTGACGCCGTTGAAACCACCATTTTTTCATTGTCATTATCGACGATCCCAAACCAGGACTTACAAGCAACGTGACAGCTCTCTGTGACGACAACTAGCTGCAGCATGGCAAGTTGTCAGGGTGCCGTCACTGTGTGAAGAGCACCAGGTGTAGACGAAAAAAATATGTGAATCCCCTATGAGTGTGCCGAGTGTTGCCCCGCCGTGGTGGTCTAGTGGTTAAGGTACTCGGCTGCTGATCTGCCGGTCGCGGGTTCGAATTCCGGCAGCGGCGGCTGCATTTTCGATGAAAGCGGTGATGCTGTAGGCCCGTGTGCTCAGATTTCAGTGCACGTTGAAGAAGCCCAGGTGGTCGAAATTCCTGGAGCCCTGTACTACGACGTTTCTCATAATAAGATCGTGGTTTTGGGACGTTAAACCACACATAGCAATCGGGTGTGTCGAGCATCGGCACGTCTTCAAATAGCAGTGCTAGGAGTATGTGCGCCTAGTTGTGGCTCATAGATAGCGTACAGGTGTGTATAAGTCCTTGTCACTTCCGGCTGTTTGGAAATGCGCGAGAAGCCCATTTCACTTCCCGCACCAGAGTGTTCCGAGCACGCGGCTCGCAGTGTTTGAGTGACTGGAAGTGTGCAACGTTGACTCCGTGATGTCTGTAGTTATTGCCTTTTTTTATTATTGTGTTGCGTTGTGTCTTGTCAAGACTAAATGTTATCCGCGGCACAACGTACTGTAAGCTGGAGGAATTGTGGTAAGACACCGAAAACCCAAACCAAAACTGAAGAGAACTGAAGATGACGAAGGTGCGCGTGAACAGAAGAACGTGGCCCGCGTCAGCTAGTTGACATCAAGGCGTTGGAGAACGCGGCAACTCGAGTCTTGGCCAATCCCCTACAGTGGGTATGCGCCAATAACAATAGGAGATCAACAACAACAACAACAACGCGGCAACTAGCAAGAACACAGTTTGTTCGACCCGAGGGACTGAATAGGGCCTAGCTAGAGTACCAGCCATCCGGGACGAGCTTGGCGAGTCCTGAGGGCGAGCGAGTGTTCTCGACCCGGAGTAAAGGTGCTGTTCCTGCAGTTATTGAGCCAGCAGCCTGGGCGATCAGCTGTTTTAGAGGCGGAGATGCTGGCCTTGGTGTCACGGCCAAGCGGACCAGGGATTTGGTGGTGGAGATCATAGTCATGGTACCTTGTACGAGTGGGCCCATCGCAACCCGGAGCTGAAGGCATGGCCTTGCTGCTACGTCGGGCGCTACGTGGGTTCACGAGTTCCAGGGAAACCAGTTCGTGATCTGCTTATGCGCCATCGCACAACTTCATCGTACAGTCTAGTACAACTCGTAGTGATTCTACCACTTCGTGCATCTGTCGTCAGCAGCTTCATGGTAGTGGGAGTTATTTTTTAACGAACATTTACTTCGGCAGCCACCGATGCTCTCGTTGTGTTGTTTTAGGAATTTACGGCAACGGACCTAAAGAATGTTTTTATAGTTTGGCTGTTCAGAGTGCATGTAATTGTGTGTGAAATCGATAAATGTTTCTTGCCTTGGTTGTCCGTGTCTGAGGGCCCAATACCACTACACCCTTCCACTGCCATGCCTATTGACAGTGTTGGTAGGGAAATGCAGACATTACCAAAACTTGATTGGCACTCTAGCATAAATGTTACGTTTATGTCAAGGGGCTTACCTTTGAAGATTGGGAATATGTTCTTCCAGATGGTGAGACAGCCACAGCGGTAGTACTGACCCATGGCCAACTCCAAGTAAAAAAGAGGCAGACCACCGAACATCAGCATCACTGTGTAAGGTATCAGGAAGGCGCCTGTGAGGAAATGAAAACTTTATTTGTGTTTTTCTAAGAACGTCAAACTGAAATTTACTGGTTAAACAATCTTTCAGAGCTAATATTGGGCAAATATAGAGCCTCATGTTGTAAGTAATCGCGAAGTAAGCGTAATATAAAAAATAAATTGTACTGAGACTCGGAAAATTTACACATTTGGTTTTCTCTTCGTGCACTCAACATAGTTTACAAGATAATTTTAAGAAATGATTTCTTTCCTGAAAGTGTCGTCGTTTCCTTCAAGCTTACTTTTGTGCTGCGTGTTATGTGCGTATTTAGATGTTTTCACCGTGCAATGTACCATTAAAAATCACGTTGATTCATTGTGTGCAAGTGCACGTTTTTTATGCCATGAAATGAGGCAAAACACTATTGACACAATTCTCATTATCCTTTTTTGCTCTTCCTTCCCGTCCTTACTTCGGACATATAATGGTATCACCTAACCAAACTATGACAAAATGACCGGCTTATGCATAATACATCCGCAGTCGGCGGAGCAGCCCGTTATATTTCTCGTAACCGTAATTTCTCGCACATCTTTAAAGCAACCGATAACTGCACAGAACATCAAATGAGATGCCTTCACCGATGAAAAGATTCTCCATCGCATTTTCTCCCGCCAACCCTGTTTTTTTTTTTCGAGAGAGGTAAACTTGTATCTTTAGTTATTCTTAGAAAATCACGAAAGCTGACCTGTAGCACCTATGGCGGCAAAAAAACATGAAAGTTCCGATGTACCTGGTCCCATCTCCGTTGATAGCAGCATGCGGTTGGCAATTTTGTTAGCATTGTAATGTGGTTGCTTACCTTATATTAACAAAAAGATTCCACAAAATATTACATCAAGTTCTGTGACTTATAATATATACTAAAATGACGCTGCCGTTGAGTAACGTAATGTTTCCACGCTCATGAGCGCGTTTTGATCCAATTTTCAGCGTGGTCATGAAACCATCCACGCAGTTTTCCGGTCTCTAAAATATGTAGAGACGTGGTTTAGCTACTTACATTTCGTCTCAGAAATAACGCGTATCGTACTCGCTACAACCGTGCATGTTCGTAAGGACGTTTTTGGTGACTGGGCTTGGCTAGTGTATCCCGAGAGTAACAATGCAGAGACAGGTGACCATGACACAGGTGCAATAAACCTTGGGCGCATGTGCGCACAAAGCGATAAAAATCCAGAAAATGTGTGTAATGGCCTATTACCTCATTGTAAGACCTTTTCATTTTCGAAACAAAGTTCAAATGCTCAAAATAAAGGTGGTTAAGCAGAGTTACAGGTAGTCTTTCAAAAGCAGAACGAGGTCAGCTTTCGCAAACTGCTTTAAGGGCTAGCGGAAATGCTACCCATTCTCAGCCTGGCTAGATAAAACATACATATGTGTTTAATGCATTTCAGATCGAGAAATGCTGCTTTTTATGTAACTACGTGCTACTGGGGTGAAGTACTACAGCTACAAAAAACTACGAAAATTGAGCTTTTTTCATGCCGTAAAGAAACAGTAGAGAAAAAACAATTGTCGGTCCCTTTATGTTAATAAGCTGGCCTGACAGCGGAACTGACTGTGAAGTCCTGACCTTTAGCCACAGGTTGCACGGAAACGTTGCTCAATTACGCAAACTCGCCTCCTTCGCGATGTCTCATCGCTTCGCCATCTTCCTGCTTCCCCTCATCATAGCTTAAATTATGCTTTCGCCGCATGCTTGCCAGTTGTGACGACGACTCAGAAGGTGCATTCACGCCGTAGAACGAAGTAAACAACAGGAATGATGAATAGCAGGAGTAAAATCAAGACGATGAGAAAATGAACAAGGAAGAGAAAGAGGGGAAAGACAACAACCAGGAGGATGATGACGCTTAAGTCAAGAGTGAGTTAAAATAAGGCAAGGTAGCCGCAAATGAACGCATAAATTACGCCTAAATGAAGGAAGAAGAGAACGGAGAAATGATGACCATGGTGCTGTTCCCGATGCAAAGAACTACGACGAACAAAATGATAAGTCTACACAAAACAAAGAAGATATTGGGAGGCCTTTAACTTGAAGAAAAAGAAAATGACCAGTATTGGCACAGGAACATCAAATTGGGCATCTTCGGGAATTGTGCGAAATTTCTCGCCTCCAGCAACCGTGTACTTTAGACCGACGAACGTAGCAAGGTACACGGACTCCATGAACACCGTATTTATTTCCGTAGGTGCACTCTTTCGATATAATAAAGGTTTTTAGCAAGCTACAGAAACACGTTGCGGAAGTACGACTCGGCTCTTTTCCGTATGCGTGTACAATGTTTCTACATGCGTACTCGTCAGCCGGTTCCGCCTTGACGCCTTTTCATAACGTGTTTCCGTAGCCTACTAAAACCTCTAATAAAACGTGCTAATCATGATTCGACAAGGAGGAAAACGGCGCTGGTCAGTTTCGCGAGTGGCACAGTGAGCTCTGCTTCGCTGAGCTACACCTCTGCGTTTTCTAATAAACACATTCTAACGCCACAACTGCCGAGGTGGGGGGTAAGCTATTTACTACCAAGTGACATGGGAGAGACACCACCATCTAATGACTAAAGCGCAACAATACGTGCTTTCGCTCAGCGGTCAGCTCACGTGTTTGGCACCATTACCTCGACAAATGAGCTCGCATGGACATAACTAGAAGCCACCCGCAGTGGCATCACCTTATTGCTACAAAGAGCCACGGGCCTTCACAGAGAATCCCGAAAATGACGTGGGTGAATGGTTTTGCTACTATCAGTGGTTTAGGAGATCCAAGATTGGGCTCGGCAACAGCACTGACGGTACCATTCTTAGGAGTCTACTTTCCTTCATAATCCAGATTAGTGAATACTTGTCTGGGGCATGTCGCCGATGTGATAACTGTTTTCTAGGGCTGTTGCCTTACCCACTGTGTATAAAATGTTTTTTTAATTGTGTTTTGCCTGCTGACATTGACCTGCTGTGTTACGGTAATGTCGAAGCCAATCCTGGGCTCCCCGATAGAAAATGTTATTCAAAATATTGAAAGATAAACAAAACTATACTTCCCACAGTTTAGGGCATACACATGGCACATAAACTGATAGAAAAGGAGCTCGCCGGAGTAACTGAACGTATTGATAACATTGATGAACAACTACGAAAATAGAAGGTCGATAGTATGCAATCATCAGTTTCTAAACGTTATTCGCGGGTATTCACACTTTGAGATCATATAGATAATTTAGAAAACCAAGGTCGTAGAATCAATTATTTTATATATGGTCTGGATGAGCCAACTGAGAAGTCAAACGATGAGCCACCTATAATCGTGCAACAGGATAATTATGTGAAACATTTCTGCACCAGGGTAGACAGCATAAAAAGATGTCATAGATCAGGAAATAAACACCGAAACAAGTCATGTCCTGTCGTTATTAAAATGCTTGACTATTACGAAATAACGTCTATATTGAAATCAGCACAAAATCTAAAAGTACTGCTCTATCTTTATCTGATGTAGACTTTTCTAAACGGCTTCGTAAAAAGCAGATATTATGAAAAAGCGTGGCAGGAGCGAAATCAAATGCTGTGAAATTATAACAATTTTATGATATTGCGACCAAAAATATTTCTCTACTTGTTTTAGATAAGGAGAAAAATGTACGCTTTTAGACACCCATAACAAAGGCTGGCTGACATTATCCAAACACCCTGTCTTCAAAGGTCCTCAATTCAAATTGTAGGAGCGAAATTAACATGGTCGATCAGTTGAAGACTCCCGTTCTTTCACATCATCCTGTCGGTACAGTTCTGGCCGAGGCCTGGCTAATTGACTGAATATATGAGAGCCAGTTTGCTTCTTCTGCCTATAAAGAGTTCGTGAAATACCGAGACAGCAGAGGTGGATTCGTCTGTATTATTTTCAAGTCAGTAAATATCCTGAGAATGCTGAGCCTACAAAATATTCACATTATTTTTGTACAAGTTAGTTTAATGGCTTGAGATGCAGTCTAAGCCGAAAAGGACTATATTGGGGTGTGCTATTGGTCCTTTAGGGGACTAAATTGTCTGCCAAATAATTTGAACCAATTTCGGACTAACTGCGGGAGCAACTGCAAGGGTTCAACTATTACCCCCTAGCACTTACTCCACTTGGGTCAAATGTTATTCCAAGTAGAATACTCCAGTAATGAATTGATTTGTGCGGTTTAACGTCCCAAAACCACCATATGATTATGAGAGACGCCGTTGTGGAGAGCTCCGGAAATTTCGACCACCTGGAGTTCTTTAACGTGCACCCAAATCTGAGCTCACGGGCCTACAACATTTCCGCCTCCCTCGGAAATGCAGCCGCCGCAAGAATACTCCAGTAGGACTAACAGTTGATCCGTCTGGATGAATGGCAAAAAATGCCTACCCTGCACTTGTAGAGTATATTTTCACGTAAGAGTGAGGGTAGCTCGAAGACAGGAGACCGGAAGGCTCGTAGAAATAGAAGGGAATCCGTTTATTTGGTGGACTTACGCCCACTAAAGGAAAATGCACACACCGGCTTAGCGGGCGGTGAACAGCAAGTTCGACGGCTGCCGGGGAACAGGACGCCCCACTAGATTGCAAGGCCCGCTCAACATTTTAAATACGCCCCCCCCCCCCCCACCCGCAAAAGCAGGTATAACAGTCGTCGTAGAATCTGCGGTATCTCGTAATGAACGAATGGTCGACGTGTGGGCCACGATCTTCGCAGATGAATCGCGGTGCGTCTTGGATCACGATAAGACCGCGTGCGGGCGGTATCGGAATGCGCAACACTATCCGCTATACGCTTCGCGGCATTGCTCCCCTCTGCAACGTAAGCATCGACCCGATGCTTTCTTTAAAATAAAATAAAAACAAAAGGACAGCCTTTGTGAAAGTAAATGGCAGATAAGCGTGAATCACGTGCACATAAACAAAACAAGAGGTGCAAACAGGGAGCATCATTTAG